CTAAGAAAGAAAAAGAGTAATTAAAGTGGATGAAAGGGATTAAAAGACAATGTCACTGAAGGAAAAAAATGTAATTTGCTTTTGGTCTCTTAGTCCTGTTTTCTTGTAATGTACTGTTTTAAAAACAACCAAACAACCAAAACCCCCAGACAAACAGAAAAGCCTGCATCCTACTTTCATTTACCAGAGGAGACCTTGTCCTCATCAGTGTACTCTACATGTTAATCTTTTTATGCTTTGAACATCAGTTTAGCTTAATTTAGCTTAACTTTTATGTCCCATGTGGATGTTCTCCAGCCCTGTTTTCAGATGCAGCTCCACAGCTTTCCTGGTCATCTTTATCCATCTGCTCTGTATGCTTCCCCTGTCACCAGGCACTTGGAATTGTCTTCATGCAATCTATTACTTCATAAACTGAGGAATAAATGTCCATGCAACAGGAACTGTTTTATATTAAATTGTATCAAATTTACCATCCATTTCTATCAATGTGCCCATTTTTTCTGTGTTTAATTTGCTAAATATCTCATTTCGTTCAAGTTCTTTAGTGTTTGTATTCCTGGGAGTAGCAACTGCAGATACCCTTCTGTATAGCATAAGCAGCCACTGCAATTCTCTGCGGACTTTTGTAAGGTAGACTGTGTGGGAGTGGTATGAATTATCTTTAAATTTGCATTTGGGTTTTTTGGTGAATGTAAAAAAAAAACAAAAAAACCCAACTTCCTAATAAAACCAATACATTGGAATTACTCCCAATAGAAAAAGCCTGCTTTTTCATTTTTTTTCACCTTCTTTATCTGAGAAGAGAATAGAGCAAAGTCTTCCTGGTTACTTTGTCCTGGTTTTGGTAGGCATTGCCTATTTGAGTATGACCATGGTAATGGGAACCATGTGAAATCACATTTTCTACTGCACTTGTAAACTGCGAGTTCACTTTTTCCTCATGCTACAAAAACAGAACTTAGTGTAATATACATAAGGAATATAAGGTTACATAAAGCTAAACAGCATTAAAAAATATCTCTGGGCTACATTTGGATGCATTGATTTTATGTTCTCGCCATTTGCAAACCTGACACTGAAGAAAAAAATACAGGTATATGAAGCTTAGCTTTCCTTTTGCTCTTTCATTTAATGAGTTGATCTATTTCATGGATTCCTAGGTCTATGGCATTCATCGGTAATTGTTGTACTGTGGTAGATCATATTCTGTATTTTCAACTTGCTGCTTTCAACTGTTCAGAAAATATTACATATTTTACAACTGAATAAGTACAGCTTTTTCCTATTGTGAGTAAGTAGCACATAGAAATTAAGGATAGCTTCTTTTCTTTCCCCTTCATATTTCTTTGCCTTCCCTCCTTGCTACTTTGCAACAACAAAAATTAGGCATTCATTTCCATAAAGTCATTTTGGAAAAGGAAAGCTTATTAAAATAAATACAGAGAGGGAAAATACAGTTGTTCTGGCTTGAGCTGCAGGTGTTACAAACTTCCCATATGTAGTAGCTGGACCTTACAACTTTGAGATTTATTTCTGGAAAACATCACTGCCATGTGTTGAATGTATTGTAATGCTCCACATTGCCTCAAAATGAAAGCATTATCATGAATTATTATTATGAATTACTTCATTGCTCAGAAGCTCATGGCTTCTTGACGTTCAAAAATATTTTTGTTCCTTGTTGTGTGATTTTGGGTATTTTGATTTATGACTGAATGTTGCTGTCTAAATGAGTTTTGGAAGTTCACTCAGGGAAAATGACAATTACTTTTGAAACTGGGTTGGTTCCAGAAAGAGAGTTTCACATAAGAAGGTCCCCTTAAGGACAGAAAATATTTAGAACAGAGGACAAGTTACTTGCATTTACCACTGCCATTAACGTTTGGAGATGTGGACTAAAAAACATTATTAATGAATTAATATTTTAAAGCTGGAACACAACATAATTAACGGGTGGTTAAGGGCATAAAGGGATTTAGTATGAAATAGAGTTTATTGTTAGGGTTACAAGGATAAAACAGGTATTCTCGTGTGGTGGCTTAATATGTCACAAAACATGAACCTGAGCTTACTCTAAATTGAGTCAAGTGTCTCTGAAAGTAGTAGGGAATCTTATAATATCACCACCCAAATATTATGAGCCTCAAAACTGTGATTTCTGCTTTAACTTGATGCTTAAGAGCAACACTTCAAAGAGAAGCTCCTTGTAATACTTGTGTAGACTAGAGGCAAGTTTTTGAGATAAATCTGCTCTGTAGCCAAGCTGACAAAATTGGTCTGTCCCCAGATCTGACGATCTGGAAAGTGTGGGAGAGGAGAGGGGAATCAGGGAGGCAATCTTTTAAACATGACCCAAATACTTTGTTTTATGGAGCAAAGTGCACAGCCTCGATTCAAATAATAAAATGGACTATGGAGTATAAGTTACAGAACTCCTGTTTGTAGAAAGTACATAATCACACCATCGTCTTTTTCAAAATTCTTTTAGGAATGGAATGTACGTGTACTACTTGTGGGATGAAACTCTCACAGATAATCATAGCAAAGTGTTCATCAAACCCAGAAAATTTGGTAACCAAGTACTGATTGAGGACATTAAGCCCAGGATTATACTCTACATGTCTCTGCAGAAGGTCCATAGTCAGAGAATCGGGGCTTCAAGGTGCACCCTGCAGTTACAGCAGAGCTGCTCTGCAGAGCTCAACACAGCACCTGCAAATGGAAATAATGGGAAAGTGAAGGTTTCAGAACTAGTATGCTATTATTGTCCCTCTTTTCACATAACTGGTATGTTATGCAGCAAAGATCATTGTAGTAGTGAAAACTTTCTCAGAAAAGGAATTGGCAAACCAAATGGAAACAATTAGGGTTTTGTGTGTGGCTTTCTAAGAACCTATGAATACAGATTGCAAACAGCAGTGTGATGAGACAGAGATAAGTTTGATAAGGCAACATGGACCAAACTTTTAAAATAACAAAATATGCATTTCTTGTGATGAGAAGTAGGATTATTTTAGTAATTTTACTATCCATCCTGTGCTATAAAGGAGACAAAACCCCATGAATTAATTAGGTCTTTCTTTTGCCATTTCAGCAGTCCACTGTGTAGTAGGAATTGATAGAAATACAGTGTTTCCCTTTTAATTTGGTTATGCATGGTGACTTAACTCTACCTTTGGCCAACTCCCAAATTCAGCTAGGTTTCTGTAAGGAGAACCTTACCGGAGCTGAAGCCAAAACTCCCCAAGTTTAATTTTGCAGATGTGATCATGTATGATGTTACTTTTTTAGAGACTGAAGGAGCCTGTTCCAGACCTGTGTGTGCTTCCAAAAGCAATACTTCAAATCTTTGTTCTATGTATCACAAAACTGTCCAGAAATAAGGCTACATATTTCTCTTACAGGAAAAATATCTTATCAGAACAAGTGTAGAACTGGCATGTCTCACAAAATAAAGTCCCTCTAGAGCAACTAAAGTGTTTCAGTACTGCTGGAAGAACACAGAAGTTTGTGTTCCCAGTACTAGAAAGATTTGGTTTTCCCCTGGAAACATAGTTTAATTGTGATTAAATGCAGCAGAGGTAAATAAAGTATACTTTGTAATTTTATGTCCTTTAGTAGTGTTCGGTTTATGCAATTTTATAATTATATTCCATAGACTTCCCTTTTACTGCTTGCCATTTATGCTATGGCTCTTCCAATAGTAAGCTGTGATATTGTATGCTTTTTAGTATTTAGCCTGAATGTAGTCCAGCCAAAGTGGTGCTGTAGAATTAACTTGAGCTTTCAACAGTTTAGTTTCCTAGGAGGCAAGCTTTCTCATTTCTGTCACGTGTTGTTTTTTTTTTATCTTACCTGTCACAGCATATGCAAGTTCACACTACTTAGTCTTTTACTTGTTTTGTCTGACACTTAATTTTAGTGACCACCCCCCCCCCTCAAAAAAAAAAAAAAAAGTTATTTTCTCCCTTGAATATGTATGCATCTTGCTGTGCATTTTCCAAGTGAGGCTCTGCCAGCTGATAACTGTATGGCCAAGCTTTCAAGAATGATCAGAATTAAAATAGATAGGCAGCTTCCTTAGAAACTGTTAGGATGACTAGTAGTCATGAAAAAATAAAAGCTCTTTCAGATCACAGCAATTGAAGCTAGATGTCCTTCATAGCTTTTGAACAACATAAATACAGGAAAGGTATTGAAAAGACCTTAAAGCAGAAATTGCTCATGAATATTGATACAATTGAACTTAGAAAGGCAGGTACATGTATACTTCATGTTTATAGTGGTAGAAGTTAGCCCTGTACCTGATAGAAATAAGTACTGGGGCTAGAGCGTTTTAAAACATAATCAACTTTCATCAGTTATAGGACTAGCTGCACTTCTCTGTTTCTTTTGCAATCTGTGATTGAACTCCTTTATTTATTGACCATCATATGTCTTCCCAATTTGTAATGAAATTTGTAGCTTTCTTATGGTTGGAACATAAGCTGAGCTACACTGCACCTTTGTATCAGTCATGGTTACCCTGCTGAGGCTCTTCCCTGGTCTATGAGAAAATTTTTGAACACTGGTGAATATAGTGACCAAATAGAATACTTGAAACAAAACTGCTGTTTATGTGATAATAGCAAAAAATATTAAAGAAAGATTTTAGAGGAATTAAGGTATAAATAGTATTAACTATGGAAGTCAGATTGTTTCTATCTGTTGTCATGCCCACATTTGAAATTGTGGGTATGGTGAGTTATGGAGAGATAGTCCTCAAGAAGAAAAGACTTTCTTGTAAGAGCGTCCTGTGTATTTGAACTATATATATGCACATATATATTTTTTGTATGGCATATATTCTAAGCATCAACTTCACTGATTCTAACAAAAAAGAATGCCATGTGTTATATTAGAGCCATTTATTTACTGTACAATATCTTAAGCAAGAGAAAAAGCTTGTATATATTGTCTCCCTAATGTATTATTATTTATTTGAATTATTTGTGCAGTGAAAAGACGTTTAGATGGAAATACCCAAGAAATGTCACGGGCCAACAGCTTCACTGATTACATTGACCTTATGTCAGAAGAGTCGCCACTGCCAGCTGTATCCGATGTGGCACAGTAAGTGGAAAAACTTTTTAACTGGTAATATAAATGCTTGTTAATGGTGAGGGACACTTACCATTGAATAAAAGTATTATTCTTTGGCTGGTTGCACTTGAAGTGATTGTAAGTTTGATCTTATTTAACTGCATGTGAACATTTCTACAAAATGCAAGTTTAAGTTTAATGGCAGTAGTCAGACACTTGGAAAGAGAAGTTTTGCCCTGTGGTGGGTAGCTTGCAGTCTCGATGTCTTTGTTGTTTTACTTTAAGGCAGCTGACACGATTCCTGAGATTGTTTTATGGGTAAGTTTATACTTTGTAGAATCTTCTGAATCTGTTTGAGTTCTAGTAGTGCTCCTAATATGAATAATGTATAAATTGATTGGAAACATAAATGAAATAATCATTTACAGATACAGGCTGAAAATGAAGGCTGCATTATGTATAGTTGGTACACTTCTAAGGAAATGATATTCCAAAAATATGAAAATAAAATTATTAAAGAGATAGAGCTGGTGTCTGCATTAACTGGGACAGAAAGTCCCTCTTATCAGTGAGTTCACTGCAACTGGTGAATGATCTCTCATGTTGCTTGTATTTTGTATTTAGTTTATTTAGCAAATTTCTGTTTCTTGAAATAAGCATAATAGTACCTTCACGCAGGATGCCTCCATATTGTGTTTTGACAGAATCTTGAGTAAAATTGATGCTTTTGTCCTCTAATGTACAATTCCAGTGTTGGGGATGGGGATTTTGGAGTAAATGTCAAATGTGAAGCAGAGCATTAAAGTATACAACAAGGCCTAGGTGGACCAGAGCATCTGGGTATCATACCAAGGCTTTATCTTACATACAGAAATGGATACAAAGAATGCTGGTGAATAGAACTCTTGAGTTAGCAGTGATATATGGCCTAAAGGTATGGTACAGCTGGCTTAAGCTCATTAAGGTCTAACCAATTGATGTGAATGTCAGGTGCATATAAATAGAATGATCTTGCAACTAAATATTGACAAATTAATTATTATTAAATTCTAAGAGGTGTAAATTTTAGCTTCTGAATATTTGTAACAAACTTTGGATTGTTACAAATCCAAAGTTCAAAAGTTAAAGATGTAATATAAAGTTGCAGAGATACTATGTAAAAAATAAGCCAAAATATCATTTAATGTAGCTTTATGCTTCTAAATTCAAGCATGCCAGTTTTCACCTTTATCTCATTTTGTGTGTGTGTAATTCTACTTAGTAGAATGCTTTCATTTAAGAGTTGTCCCAATTCTTCAGTAGAAATGTAGTATCTCATTATTCAAATTGTGAACTTTCTTGGACAAGCTAAGAACATCATGTATTTATTGATCTTGGTTTTAAATTGCCATTTCTAATGCCAACAATAAGATATTAACGTTGTATTTGCCCAATAGGCATACGCCTTCTGCATGAATATTAGATATACTTAGTGTGATTATTTGTCTTGTCTTTTAGCAGAAATATAAGCAGGTAAGTCTTAATGCATACTGTACTTGCTTTGATGTGTGAGCTTTCCAAAACAGCATGGCTCTTGCTTTACACACAGTAATGTGATGCCCAGTGGTAGGACAAGGGGCAATGGATGTAAGCTGGAACACAGGAGGTTCAACTTAAACTTCAGAAGAAACTTCTTTACGGTGAGGGTAACAGAGCACTGGAACAGGCTGCCCAGGGAGGTTGTGGAGTCTCCTTCTCTGGAGACATTCAACACCCGCCTGGACGCCTTCCTGTGTAATTTTGTTTAGGTTCCTGCTCCGGCAGGGGGATTGGACTAGATGATCTTTTGAGGTCCCTTCCAATCCCTAATATTCTGGGATTCTGTGAATGTGTTCCCTGCACTAGTGTGCCTTGGAATTTGTGATGGAGAAATATTTTTTCTATTAAAAGTTCCACTTTTATTCTGCTTGTTTACCTGGTTAGAATAAACAGTTATTCTGGGTGTTCATGTAGGCATTGTTTCATGCTCTGGAGTTATGTAGTAGTTAGATTCTGCCTGCCCCCCC